GTCCGTCCCTCTGGGGGTCGGGTCGACGGTCCGCGGCCGCCCCGCCGATCAGCGCTGCCGCTGGCCAGGCCGACGGTCCGCGGCCGCCCCGCCGCTTGCCGGGGCCCGGCCTGCAGGGAAGAAAGATATACCCCCCAAAAGGGGTTCGATCGAAGACGGAGAGGGCGGGTATCGAGGGTTTGGGAAATACGCGTTATTGGACACTCGAGCAGATAAGGGCGAACAGTCTTAAAATGATTGTTGTTGCTGTTGCTGTTGCTGTTGCTGTTGCTGTTGCTGTTGCTGTTGCTGTTGTTGTTGTTGTTGTTGTTGTTGTTGAACATTATTTCTTCTTAAGAATAATTATTGTTGGGGCCCCTGGTGCACGGCCCCCCCGCCGCGCCTAGGCCGCAGCTACATTTTCATCATTTTCGTGAGGAAGTCTCAGGCAAAACGATTGTGTCCGGATCCGGTTGTTTTGTTCCCCCCCGCTTTCCCTTGTAAAAAATACTATAAAATGAAAATTCTTGTTCTTACTTGATCAAATTGCAAGAATCCCTTGCAAAAAATAAGGTAAAGTGGACATTCGTGCGCGCAAGACGAAATCCTTCCAAAACCTTAGGTTTCGTAACGATTTTAACATAAAAACATCAAAAACCCAATGGTTTTTAAAAAAAAATGTCCAAATGTCCTTCCGCGCGCGCTGTCCGAATCCCACAAAACCAATGGTTTTTCAACATTTATGTTACATGAGCTCGCGCGAGCTACTTTTTCTTGTTCTAACATAATCAAATTTCAATAATCCCTTGCAAAAAATAAGGTAAAGTGGACATTCGCGCGCGCAAGACGAAATCCTTCCAGAACCTTAGGTTTCGTAACGATTTCAACATAAAAACATCAAAAAGCCAATGGTTTTTCAAAAAAAAATGTCCAAATTTCATCCCGCGCGCGCTGTCCGACTCCCACAAAACCAATGGTTTTTCAACATTTATGTTACATAAGCTCGCGCGAGCTACTTTTTCTTGTTCTTACATAATCAAATTTCAACATCCCTTGCAAAAAAAAAGTAAAGTGGACATTCGCGCGCGCAAGACCAACAAAAAACACGACGATCTCAGGAACTTGCCCCAAAAATGTGACCAACTCCGCTCTCTCTGTCTCTCTCTCTGTCTGCTCTCTGTCTCTCTCTCTGTCTGTCTGTGTCATGTATTGTATGTCACAATTGCAGGATGCTGGGCACACGCGCGCCCCGAATAAGTGACCAAGTTCTGTGGGTGTGTACCCCACGCCAGTGTAGTAGCCACGGTCGTCCGCACGCCACGAAGTGAAGTGTCCCAACGTCATAGGGCGGGAAGCTGGGTTTGGGTGGTCGCGAAGAGTCGTTTGGATATTTGGTAGAGCTTGAACTGCCCCCCCACGAAGTGGGGGTATTGTCTCGCGTCGCATGAAAACCCTGGCAGTGGTGAGAACACTGAGCGTTCGGGTAAAATGATTGTTGTTGTTGTTGTTGTTGTTGTTGAACATTATTAATTCTAAAGAATAATTATTGTTGGGACCCCTGGTGCGCGACCCCCCCGCCGCGCCTAGGCCGCAGCCACATTTTCATCATTTTCGTGAGGAAGTCTCAGGCAAAACGGGTTGGTCCGGATCCGGTTGTTTTGTTACGGCCCGCTTTCCCTTGCAAAAAATAAGCTAAAGTGGACATTTCTTGTTCTAACATAACCAAACTTCAAGAATCCCTTGCAAAAACAAGGTAAAGTGGACATTCGCGCGCGCAAGACGAAATCCTTCCAAAACCTTAGTTTTCGTAGCGATTTTAACATAAAAACATCAAAAAAACAATGGTTTTTAAACAAAAAAATGTCAACATTTCATCCCGCGCGCTCTTGCGGATTCGTAGGAAACCCAACACTTTTTAAACATTTCTGTCAAACGGGCTTTTGCGAGCAACTTTTTCGAACTTCTGCAACAACGGTTGCGCACCTGCCAGGGCCATCATCCCTGTCAAATAATACCATGCGGGACACATTCGTTTTTTCTTCGCGCGCGCACGCCGTCGTCGTCGGCCGCGGGGCCCTGAATAGTAGCCACGGTCGTCCGCATGCCACGAAGTGAAGTGTCCGAACGTCATAGGGCGGGAAGCTGGGTGTGGGTGGTGGCGAAGAGTCGTTTGGAAATTTGGTAGAGCTTGAACCGGCCCCCCCACAAAGTGGGGGTATTGCCCGCCTCCTATGAAAACCCTGGCACTGGTGAGAACGGAGTGTCCCCACGTGCTAGTAATTGTTGTTGTTGTTGTTGTTGTTGTTGTTGTTGTTGTTGAACATTATTCCTTCTAAAGAATAATTATTGTTGGGACCCCTGGTGCACGCCCCCTGCGCCGCGCCTAGGCCGCAGCTACATTTTCATCATTTTCGTCGCGGAAGCTTCAGAAAAGTGGATGTGTCCGGATCCGGTTGTTTTGTTCCCCCCCGCTTTCCCTTGCAAAAAACACTATAAAATGAAAATTCTTGTTTTTACTTGATCAAATTGCAAGAATCCCTTGCAAAAAATAAGGTAAAGTGGACATTCGTGCGCGCAAGACGAAATCCTTCCAAAACCTTAGGTTTCGTAGCGATTTTAACATAAAAACATCAAAAACCCAATGGTTTTCTCAGAAAAAATTGTCAAAATGTCCTTCCGCGCGCTCTTGCGGATTCCTAGGAAACCCACCAGATTTTAAACATTTCTGTTAAAAGGGCCTTTGCGAGGAACCTTTTCAGGTGCTTCGACCTTCTGCAACAACGGTTGCGAGCCTACGAGGGCCACCATCCCTTGCAAAAAATGACACGAAGTGCATAGCGTTGCGGAATCTCTTCCTATCTCTCTCTCCACTGGCTCTCTGTCTTGCTCTCTCTCTCTCTCTCTCTCTGTCTCTCTGTACTATGTATGTCATACGCAACAAATGCACCATGCGGGGCACATGCGGGGCCCAAACAAGTGATCAACCTCTGCGGGTGTGTACTCCACGCCAGTGTAGTATCCACGATCGTCCGCGCGCCACGAATTGAAGTGTCCTGACGTCATAGGGCGGGAAGCTGGGTGTGGGTGGTTCCCGAGAGTCGTGTGGATGTTTGGTAGAGCTTGCATTGCCCCCCCACGAAGTGGGGGTATTGGCTGGCGTCGCATGAAAACCCTGGCACTGGGGAGAACACTGAGCGTTCGGGTAAAATGATTGTTGTTGTTGTTGTTGTTGTTGTTGTTGTTGTTGTTGTTGTTGTTGTTGTTGTTGTTTGGTGTCGTCCCCCCCGCGATCTGGCCCGCTACCCACCCGCGACCCACCCCGCGACCCGCCCGCGACCCACCCGCGACCCACCGGCGACCCACCCACGACCCACCCCGCGACCCACCCGCGACCCACCCGCGACCCACCCGCGACCCGCCCCGCGACCCACCCGCGACCCGGCCTGCGACCCGCACGCGACCCACCCGCGACCCACCCGCGACACACCCGCGACCCACCCCGCGACCCACCCTCATTGCTTTAACGAAAAATTGTCGCTTGCGGCGGGCTCGTTGTACAACTTGTCAACATGAAGCGCTTGCGGCGGGCTGCTTCAGAGCCTCGCAGACTGCAGACGTCCCGGCCGCCCCCTCACTCTTACCCGCGACTGCGGGGTGCTACGTATTCTTAGCTTGTTTGTTTCTGGAACGGGTGCGTCTATGCAGTCGAGCCCCACAACGAAGATGGTGTATCTAGTGGCCGTCGGCCCATCACGCCACCGCGCTCAGGTTGTAGATCAGAGGCCTCGTGGGTGCATGCGGGGATCTATTGGGGAGCTCCATCGGTTTTGGTGGTCTTGGGGCGTCTCGGGGGCCTCCTGGGGTATGATTTGGGTCTGCTTTTGGGCCTACTTTGGGCCTCCTGGGGCTGTGGGGGGTCCCCTGGGGGCCTGCTGGCAGCCTCGGGGGTCATCTTGGGGCAGAGGGCTCGAACACTCGGGCCCGTCTTGGGCCTCTCGGGCCTGCCTCGGGCCCCTCTGGGGGCCCTGTTGGGCCGTCTTGGGGGCCTCTTGGGCTCTTGGGCAGTCTTGGGTACCCCCGGGGCCGATTTGGAGCGTCGGGATTTCGGAAAGGCGGGAACGCTAGAATCGATCCAACACCAATGGAACTGACAGCTTTTGGCCTGTTGGGGCCCTCTTGGGAGGGCGCTCTGGGCTCTCTTGGGGCATCTTGGGAGCCTCTTGGGGCCGTCGTGGGGCTTTCTCGGGCAACTTGGGCCGACCCAGGGCCCCCTTGGATTGTCTTCGGCGCCTCCAGGAGCCCTCTTGGCCTGTTTCGGGGCCCTCCTGGCTCCGAGAGTGATCAGAGAACACGCCCTGGCATGCGGGAAACCGTCCAGGACCTTTACTTTCGTATCGGGATTGAGGGCGGAGGGCCCAAGGAACGTGCGGACACTCCAACTCGTTCCTGAGGGCACGGTGGCGGATTTTCGGAAAGGTGTCCTGACATCTTCGCTTGTCCGATCCGTCCCTAATCGAGGGGGCCGACGTCGCTGCAATCGTCTCATAACCAGCGTCCAAGGGTCGTGCATAATTACCTTGTGTCCCCAGCCCAGGTTTGGATTCAATTTTTGCGACCAGTCGTGAACACTACCCCTGCGGGTCCACTCGACGCTGGATTATTGGACACCCCCGCTGGGGTTCACTCGACTGCAGAGATCCTTCGAATTCTGAATCCGTTGCCAGCGTTTCGGAGCTGACGAGCTCGGGAGCCTTGAAACGGGGGTCAATGCAAACGGGGGTCAACCAGAGCGCCGCCCTTTTTGCAGGATCCTGCAGTGCCGAGGGTGCACTGACCCGTTCTCGCGCGCAGGATCCTACAGGATTCTGGAGGATCGTGCAGGACCCTGCGAGGCCTGACTGGCCCGGGTTGCAGTGCGTCCCCGATCAGCAGGGGTCGGTTTCACGTGTGGTTGCCTAAGTTTTGCCCCCTCCCGCGCCATCTCTCCCTTGGAGCACCTGCCTGGGCCCCGCCGCGCGGAGGTGTGCCGGATCCTGACCGCGGTGCTGCCGCACACGGCCGAGAAGCGGGGTCTGATGGACCACAGGCGGGGGGGGCGGAGGTGAGAGGGAGAGGGGGAGGCGAGAGGAGGAGGAGGATGGAGGAGAGGGAGGGCGAGGGGGAGGAGAAGGAGGAGAGGGAGGGGGAGGCAAGAGGGAGGAGGAGAGGGAGGAGATGGAGGGCGGGAGGAGGGGAGGAGAGGGAGGAGGAGATGGAGGAGAGGGAGGGGGAGGCAAGAGGGAGGAGGAGAGGGATGAGGAGAGGGAGGAGATGGAGGGCGGGAGGAGGGGAGAGGGAGGAGGAGAGGGAGGAGGAGAGGGAGGGGGAGGCGAGAGGGGGAAGGGGAGGCGAGGGGAGGAGAGGCGGAATGTCCTGGCCCCCCTCGAGCGGGGAAGAGACTGCTTTCCCTCCTCCTCCTCCTCCTCCTCCTCCTCCTCCTCCTCCCACTCCCACTCCTACTCCTCCCCCTCCTACTCCTCCCCCTCCTACTCCTACCTCCTGGGGGGGATTGGGAGAGGAGGGGGTGCAGCAGCTGCTGCAGGCAGCTGGTTGCGGCCCCGCCGCGGGGGGGCTTTCCTCGATACCTGGGCGCCTTCGGGGGCGGGGATGCGCCCAGAAAGCCGGCTATGTCGTGTGATTCGCGACCCCCCCCCTTTACTGTCCCGCCCCCCCTTTCTAAGGCGATCGCAAACATAGATCAAGGGGGCGTGGATTAGCGAGGGGTCCCGTTTTCATGGGAAACGGCGGATTTCCGCCGCCGAACAAGGCGGCACCGGCCGCATTTTGGGGAGGGCACCTCCCCCGATCCATGGATTTGGCGACCGCGCGCCAAATCTGCGGATTGCTAATCCATGGTTGTGCGCCCCCGACTTTCGTCCGACTCGCGAGACGAGAGGATAAGAACGAGGAGAGGCAGGGTCAGGGATAGGGGGCTGGGGGAGGGTGTCGCGAGGGCGTCCTCCACTCCTCCCGCCACCCGCCGTGACGCCGTTGCTGCCTACTTGCCCTGCCGCCCGGGCAGTGTCCAGAAGGTGGCAGGCCGGGTGACAGGGGGGGCTCTACGACCACACGCGCAGGGGAGGGGGGGGGATAGGGGATTTGTTTGGGGGCTCTAGGGGAGGGCAGGGGGGCTGGGCGGAGCGGTGGGGGGGGCTCCAGGGGGCGGGTTCCAGCGGAGAGTAGGGAGAGTAGGGCAGAGAGTAGGGAGAGTGGGGGGCGGCAGACTATCTTCATCGCCCACGCTGCTTTTCGGATGATGATGATGATGATGA